TTTTATCCGTGATCCACTCATGAGGTCACGAAATAAGAAAAAAAAAAAGTCACAATAATGGGCGACCCAGGTCACATTGTGACTTCGGGTCGCAACCGGTTTTTGTGTACAAATGGGATACTTGTTTTATTTTTATTGGACAAGTGTATTTGTTTTTAAATAAATAAATAAAAAAAATATGAAAATTCATATTTTTTCATCTTCTCTAAATAGAGACCACACTTGATATATTTTAGAACACAATTGTAATTTTAAATAAATTAAAATAAAATAAATATTTAAATTGAGTTGGGCTGAGAATAAAGATAAATTGGGTTGGAAGATTGAATTGAGTAGGTGAGAAATAATTTTTAATTGTTAGGTTGGATTGGATTAAGGTTAAGGATAGGCTAATACCCTAGACTACCAATAACAACAACCATAAAGAGACCTGGTGTGTCCAGGTGGAAAAAAAAAAAAAAAATGAGAAAAGAGGAGAGACCGGTGGTGTGTTTTGGGGTATAGACAACCAAGTGGTTGAGTTGGTCTTATGATAAAGTAACCAATGGAATAGAGACACGTGTCTCCATCCCATTGGTTCATCTTTTTTTTTTCTAATAATTTTTAAACTAATATATTTTTTATATAATCAAATAAAAAAATAAATAAATATACCAAAATTCATAATTTTTAATTCTCTACAAATAGAGATCAATTTTGCTATACTTATTTTTTATTTTTAAATTGACATAAATATATAATTTTTAATTTTCTATCATTTAATTTGCACTAATACAATGAAAAAAGTAACAGTTTTTAAAATGTGAATATATGCGCTAGACCATATATGGTCTAGAGTGTAACTTTGCACTAAATGTTACATCTGTCATAATTTGCACTAATACAATAAAATAAAGTAACAATTTCCATATATGGTATAGAGTGTAAATTTGCACTAAATCGTATATTTTCAATAGTGTTTAGTATCATGGTCAAACCTGGCTAGTTCGGGTTGTTTTGAAGCCCAATCAATCAACTAGGATTAGTTAGATAGCCCAAAAGTAAACTACTGGGCCTTAACTAATCTGTATTGGATTTCTCATATAGATTCGGCCAATGGGGCCTATTGATTCTGATAGTTCGCTGGAAATCGTGTTGTTGAATGCGTAAAGTCGCTTTTCCTTAATCCACTCAAAAAAAAAGAAAAAGAAACAGAAATGGAAAAAGGATAAAGTCGCATTTGTTCATAAAATTACAGAGCCGTCGTTGAGGTAAAGCCCATGGGGAAGAAGAAAGGTGAAGGAAACCCTAATCCGAGCGAGCTGAAGGAAGGACATAATTTGCTCGGCGCGCCGACTTTCGAGCAGCTGGAGAATGGCCGGTTCAAGTGCGTGGAGACCGGTCACGAGCTGCCGGCTCACGCCAGAGACTCATACGCCGACTCCAAGCACTGTCGCCTGGGCCTCATCGACGCCGCCCTAGCTCGGAATAAGCCGCCTCTCAACATGTTCAAGCAAGACCCTGCCTCCCGGTAACTTCTATTATGCTCCATTTTTTATGCCCTTTGCTAAAAAGGCAGGATTTTCAGCCTAATATTTTCTTGTTGAATCTTCATAAGATAAAGTGTAAACCCCATTTGCGTCTGTTTTGTTTTGTTCCTTTGCGTGTTTAGTTTATAAACCTGATGGAATGTATAACTTTGCTGAATTGATTGTGCAAAAATGGGATCTTTTTTTTTTCATTAGTTTTTGCTTGCTTTTGGTGGTTTTGTTGCAGTTCGAAGCTAATATGCCGATTAACGGGAGATACGATCAATAAAACTGAGGAGCATATATGGAAGCATATAAACGGGAAACGTTTTCTCAACATGTTAGGTCTGTTCAATCATATTCATTTTTCTGCAAAACCTTTTTAAAGTAGTCAATTTTTTCGAATTCAAATATAATGAGAATGCAAACAGATAAGAAGGAGGCAGAAAAAGAAGCACCAAATGGAAAAACGGAGAACCGGGACGAGAAGAAGAAGAAAAAGAAGAAAATCGAAAATGGTGGTTTGAAGAAGAATAAGAAGAAGATTGAGGAAGAGGGGGAAAATATTGATGATATAATGGATGAAGTAAGGGACCCGGCTAGCAAAAGTAGTGATTCTGAAAATGAAGCTTGCTTTTGGATGCCTCCTATCGGTGAACGGTGGGACCATGACGATGGAGGAGACCGTTGGGGCTCTGATTCAGAGTCGGGACCTGAGGTTGAAGATGATGATGAAGAAGGTATGTCTTTCGAGTGTAAATTTTTCGTCTTTATAATGTCGAAAAAATCTTGTATTGATTAAAATTACAAGAACTTTAACATAAGGTCTTGTGCTGACGAGTTGAAGCTTTTAGGCAAGATATGCGTTTTATTGCCATTATAGTGAACTCTTAATAGTTTGTGATGTGTATTGCAAAAGGTGATTTCAACTATCTATGTATTTACCATATATATATATCATTTTCATGTGAAGATGCTTTGAATCATGTCGTAGTGGTAAAAATGAGATCTATTTGATGCATAGGCCAAGTATTAAATATGAAGTACTCGGGTTGTAGCTTGTGATACTATTTTTCTTGTGGCAGACTTGGGAATTGAAGAGAATATGCTTGAAAGTGCAGAGACATCAAAGGGGTGAGTTTACTTTTTCAATTTCATTTTCATTCATTTTCTATTTTCTGCAAGATTTAGTTGATTACTTTGAGTCTTGACATGTAAGCTTTTCCTTTTTCTTTGAACATGCAGGACAAAGCGAATGTCTCAAGAAATTGGGACTAGTAGCTTTGTCTCGAGGAGGAAGAAGAAGAAGAAGAAGACGGCATAAAGAGGTTTAGAAATTGAGCCAAAAACCCAGTTCTCTTGTGTGCTGACCCTATTTATTTCGAAACATTGGGTGTATAAAATCATACGAAGAAAGAGAAAATGGCCCGCATTGTCTTCTTTGGTTTTTTCCAAAACAAATGAATCAGTTTTGTCTTACAATGATGTTTTAGTTTTGAATGACTCCACCATATTTTTATTTCTGAAAGTATTTTGTGTTCTGGTTTGAGATGTCTCCAAATTGATGGGATGTTTTTTTTGTCAAAGTTGTTATTACTCACTGGCATTTTTAACTGCTCATAACTCAGTGAACTGTAAAATGCATACTGAGAATTGGTAGGTTCGATTTAAGGCAAATTGGGAGGATTCGATTCTGCACTGTGGTCGAGTGAAATTTTCCGAACAAATTGGGAATAAAGTAGGACTTCTTCATATATAGCATACTGTACTCATGAATCATATCGTACTTATTAATGATTGTAAATACTTCACAATGTGAAAAATCAAACAAGATACTACAAAACTACATTTTGAAAAGCCACTATAATGATCAGGTTCACCATCAAATTCTATCTAAAGGTTATCATAACAAAGAAAAGTTCTCAACTCAAATCTACACTGCATTTGCCATGTTCTTTAAGTACAAAGATAATGGCACAACAGAATCATGAAAATTGACAAAAAAAGTAATTAAACCGAAATCTAGCTCCATAATTCTTTTCTCATGATTAGAACTCTTTCTTCGCTTGTGGAGAAAGCATCGAAACTGGGTTTTACCTCCGATAACCATTTGTCCCACCTTAAAGAGGCCAAGAATTTACGTACACGATTTATTATATAATGTTTATCCCTTATAATCACAAAGCCTTCGGGCCTTAGCATACGGTCCATCTCGATTAATAGATCCTCTGTGCTGCAGCCTCTCTCCTCAATCTCAGAAAAAACCGACCATGCATGGAGCAAGTCATAGGTTCGTGGGTAAGTCGAGAAAGATTCGCACCTGCAGGTATATTATATTGACTTATATGAAACTGAAAGTAAATTTTGTTAGGAAGCAAAAAAAAAAAAAAAAA